TACATGTACTGCACATTCTTGCAAGTACTACCAAGAGTACGGGGGGTTATGTACTCTTGGTACTACAAACAGATTGCAGATCGTAATTCTTGCTTTGGCGGCACGAAACTTTATTTGGGGCAGTGCAATCTCGGCAGTACTCACTCAAACAGCCCAGACTCGAGTAAACAAATGCAATCATACAAGTACGAGATTTTCACGAGACGACACTGCACCCATTGGCTTGTTTCGTATGAAGCAAACAAGTTACTGAACCTCTCCACAATGGAGATTTTCCCTGATATGCGAATTTATTTGGCAAACTCGGTCAATGAGTCCTTGAACCTTTCCCTCCAGATTGGGAACTGCCAACGATAGTATGCCACTGACCAGTGCCTTACTTGTAACGTACTAATGTGCAATGAATATGAGTATTTTGACAACACATCTAACATAAGCTTTACCGTCGAGAAGGGGAACTCGCGTTCTTCGCACACTGTAGGCAAGGGCAAAGAGATAAAAATGGATCTAAATCCGAATAAAATCAGCACACGTTTCCGTAAATGAAAGGGTGAGCATAAGCAAATGAATCGAAGGAAACTGGTCAACTCAGAGATCGCCTATCATTGAGTATTCCGTAAAAGGAGGCCTCGGCAGCGGAAAAGCTAAATTTAGAAAGGAGATCCTGTCAGCTTTTCCATTATTTATTGCATTCCGCCCAAAATCAGCACACTTTTCGTAAATGAAAGAGTCAACACTAACTTGTACGCCCTTGAGAAACGCCTCAACTTCAAAACCTATGTATTTGTTTACCGCTGCCTGAATGGACTTGCTAGTCCTCTTCTGCGAGACCGCTTTGCCTTGCGCGCCCATGGTGCTCGCACTGCAGCCACCACCCGTGGCCAAGTCTCTGCTGCTCTTGTTCTGCCCCCCGCTAACACCCGATATGGCTTTAGTGCAATTTCTTATTTGGGCGCTGCCAGGTGGAATACACTTCCACCGGCTTGCCGCATGTCTAGTTCACCAGCTGAATTTCGCTCATCCATCAAATTATACCTAGGGTTCCCTGTAAAAAGGCGCTGACGCCTGTTGGGAATTCCCTAGTAAAAGAAGAATAAATAATAATAATAATAATAATATAATAACACAAGCAAATGAATCAAAGGGAACTGGTCAACTCACCTGTCATTGAGTGATATTCCGCGAAAGGAGGTCTCAGCAGCACCAAAACGAAATAAGCCAGGCCAGGAGACGAAATATCCGAAACAGCTCATGCAAGAAGCAGTTCCAAAGAAGGAAGTTCCTCGTGCATGCACATCCGAAAAGGCAACAACAAAAAGTCTGCAATGCACACGCATGCGGCCATCCGGCCGCGCGATGGTAGGAGCCATGGAGTAGCTCCGGCCTCCCTGCAGGACCAGGTACCGAGCATCTTACGTAGAAACTTACGTAGCTACGTAGACAACGTGTCTGAATAGCGGTGTCGTTAGGTAGCGCCATGTGAACACAATAATAGAAAAGCTGACAGGATCGCTTTTCTAAATAATACTGTAAAAAAAAAAAAAGTAGGATATTGACCCGCGTACTCGGGTGTTACCGTACCCTCCTAATTAAAAAAAAATCCCTCCTGCTACGCACAGTACGCAGTCGGGATGATATTAGTAGTAGTAGTAGTAGTAGTGTAGTAGTAGTAGTATTTATTATTTGACTAGGGGAGTCCCAACAGGCATGGCCTTGTTACAGGGAACCCTAGGTGAATCTTTGTGAGGTGAGCAAAAGTACCAGCAGATTGTGCCTGACGACAGTTTGGAGGAAGAGTGTTCCACCGACCTGCCGCCAGAAAAGAAACTGAGCGCAGTCCATACCCAATATGTACAGTAGGTATATTTATATATTTATTACAACATCTCAAGACTCGGTGGAAACACCGGCCAATGTTAAAGAGAGTGGGTGATTGCCAACCACGGCGATAAATAAAAGTAAGGGGAGGGAAAAAGAAAGAGTAGTAAAATGAACAGCAACAACTCCGTAAAGAAAGAGAAAGATAATGTCAAATAAAAACAGTGAAAAACACAGAGACGCAAAGGACATGTGGATAATGAGCTATGCATGTCGTAGTAAATAAGGGGCGGCACGGATCTTAAACAGGCGGAGTGAGGTCAGGTCCTTAACTTCTCTGGGTAGAGTGAGCCAAACAGAATAAGCAATAAAGAGAGGGGAGCGCAAAAGAGTGGATGAGTTACACTTAGGGAGTAAGAGTGAGTTTCTAGTTCTTAGAGAAGAGAACCAATTAAAACACATGAGATGAGGTGGGCACAACTCAAGCTTAATAGAATGGACAAGAGAAGCCAGGTGTGCACTGCGTCCATGTGATAACGGGGTTGTGTGAGCGATTTTATAAAGGGCGGATGATGAGAGCATGCGGGGTTGACGGAGGAGAATTTTAAGGATTTTCTTGTGATGTATTTCAAGCTTTGCAGCAGCGGAAGAGGATAACCCAACCCAAGACGTATCTGCATAATGAAATATTGGGCGAAGGTAGGCGAAATAAAAAAGAAGCTTGCAAGAAAGTGGCTCCCGTAAGAAGACCATAGGTCTGTGGGAAACACCCTAGTAAAAAAAATAAAATAATAATAATAAAGTGGGAGGTAGGAGCAGTGGGGGGGGAGAGAATTCCTAAGGATTTACTTGATTTTTTTACAGATAATTCGATGTGAGGTACCCAAGAGAGTGCAGAGTCAATCACAATGCCAAGGTGTTTGTGAGAAGACACTATGTCAATTGGATTTGGAAAGTTGGCATGGATGAGGGTTGTGAACTCCGGCTGGGGCGGGAAGAGCATGATCTTTGTTTTTGATAGATTTGGGGACAACCTCCAGGACGACATCCAGGAAAGAACTTCCTAGTAATTTGTAAGGCAGCTGTATCCTGGCCACGAGTACGAGCATTTGTGTGCGGGCCAACTGAACGCAGGAGAAACAGTGACTGAAGGAGGGGGCTAGTAATTGATATTCGGGAGGTAACACCCTCGTGCTTGGGTAATATCAAGAGTACATAATGTACTCTTGGTAATATCCTATACATACCAAATAAGGAAGGCCCCAGGCCTTGTGTGAAGACATAAAATATAGACGATTATGAGCCCGTTTACGGGAGATAGATAAATAATTAGACACCTAAATAAGGCATACCGTAAAATCCCGCCAGAGCGCCCCTACCTCCTCGACGCTTCAGCTCATCATGTGGGGATAGGAGGGGCGGATGGGCGAGTCCTTGCCGCATTCAGTGCTACCAAGAGTACATAACCCCCCAGAGTATGCAACTCCACTACAGTAAGATCGGGCGCCGAAGAACACCTCGCCGAAGAACACCCAGGCTGGAAAACCGGCAAAATTTAAGAACAGTCCAGGCTAGAATTATCAGATTTAAGAACACTTTTAAAATTTGGAACATTGTACATGTATGGGAGGTGAGTACATGTCATGTACACTTGTAAACAGTAACTGCTACATGTACAGTCATTCCCATTTACGCCACCCACTAGTTTAGAAGTACTACATTGCACTACATGTACATGACAAACGTCATGACGTCACTCGACTCGCCGCGCGCGTGTGAATAAGAACGGTCTGGCTAGAATCAAAAATTTAAGAACTTTCCTAGGCTGCGCTCGAGCCCCTGCGTTCTTCGGCGCCCGATCTTACTGTATGGGTGCTGTCCCGACAGAATTTCAAGTTGACGTCATTTTGATGATGCAATGCACACTGTACACGGATTATCAGACGAATCCGGAACCTGTGGTTGACCGAAGCCTATCTGATCCTGTACAAATTATTGCAAAGAAAAACGTGTGGCACGAAAAATCGTACTCCGGAACCTCCCTACTCCCTATCTCGTACACCGATCAAAGGTCAAGAGCCAGGAGTCACGTGATCATGCAGGACTGTAGAAGTGGACTTTTGGCGGCATATCAGTATTTGACCCGGGTCAACTGTCTTCATGTAAACGCTCACCTCTTTTGTCTATCGTACAGACTTTCAACCCGGGCTGAACTCGACCCGGGTTGAAATTTCTCATGTAAACCAGGGAGTCGTAAACGACTCCCTGATGTAAACACACACAGCCTCATTGTAAAAAAAAAGAAAAAAGAAAAAGAGAGGGCCCAGGAGTCGTACAGACCCAGGGAGTCGTAAAAAACGACTCCCTGTACAGACCCGACAAAATGCAGGGTTTGTGCGATTCCTGGTCGAGAGGATGGGCACTGTTGCGTACATTTCCAACGGGGTTGAGCACGCGTCTGCAGTACAGTACGGCATCACAGACATGCGCGCGACAGAGTCATACGACTCGCGAGGATAATCACGTCCCTGACAAGAAGTCAGGGAGGCCTCGAGGGGCGGATGGGATGAGACGGGGCGCTCTGGCGGGATTTTACGGTACTTGTCCCGTAGAGGCCTAAAAGGCACGTGTCAATAGTATGGATACGACAATTCCTACCCACACATGCCATTGGTGGCAAAAAACCAAAGGTGTGAACGACCCCCGGGGGTCGTTCACACCACAGGGGCCCCTGTCATGTCTTGTACGAGTAAAAAGTCTTGTAGGCACGATTTCGCACCAATGACAATGTACAAACACAATAATAGAAAAGCTGACAGGATCGCTTTTCTAAATGATGATGGTACAACAGTTGCTGTCCTCTGTTGCTGTCCTCGATGGGCCTCGTGTTTTCCTTGTCGCTTGCGCGTGACATTCACTGCAGGGGCGTCGGAAGGTATTTTAGTGTGGTACGGACAGCCAACTGAACTGAAGTACAATTTGCTCGTGGGGGAGGGGTGGCTGAGCCGAAAAAATTGGAAATTTAGAGCCCAAATCAGTGCGTATTATTGATGCACAGGGTACTTGGGGCAAAAAATTAGTGGTACGGTCAATACCGTAGACGGCGTAGTGACCGTACCGTGTGCGACGCCGCGCCCCTGCACTGCATATCCATAATGGCCTGGGCTCTCTAATCTAGCCCCACTTTCTCTGTCGCTGTCAACACTTTGTGTTTCGGCTCGCAGTGGAGGCTTTTTGCGTGGAGCGCAAGCCTGAGCAGTAGTAAATTGCAATCTGTTGTGTCAGAAGGGCTAGCGTGGCCTCGAAGTGCTTGTGCTTGTAGAAGTTGGAATCGTCTAGCCAGGCTATTCGCCGTCATGGCCCACGCTCGCCTGAGAAGTCCAAGGTCGTCCTGGGCAAGGAACGCCATGCAGGTCTTTGAAGGTAAGCCGAATGTAGCAAACCTTGTTGCTTAGTATCGCTTCGTAGTTAGCGCAGCATCAAGAAAACGCTTCCAAGCAAACCGTTAGTAAAGTGCAGTTTCCAAGGGCGAAAGCACTTTCTGGTGAGTTTCTGTTTGAAAATAGCACTCTTCGTTCAGCAGCAAATTAGTACTACAGCAAATACATCAGGGCTCACCACGATCATACAAAATTCAAAACGCGTCGACCACCATTTTGAAAAATGGCGACAGCCGGGGAGGCCAGAGTTTGTACGGTCATAGCGGCTACGCACCGGAGTTCATGCTGATCCATGTACGCGATGTACAGTCGAGTTGTAAAATACCTGTATTTTAAGACTCCCTGGTCTAGTCTGTACCGTGAAGGGCCAATGCCGAAGATAATCTATTTGTTAACGCCGGGAAAGACACGCGGAGAACTGAAAAAGTCCTTTCTCCAAGCCACGTTGGTCTTTTTTCTCAATCCGCTGTTGCATGTCGACCAAGATATGTCCGTGAGGTATTAGGGAGGTTCTGCTCTACGTTTTGGGAACGCGACGCAAAGAATCACGCAAACTTTCTTCGCGTTCCCGTAACGTAAAGAAATGCTGTTCTGCTCTACGTTTCACCTAGAGAAGTCACGTGGAATATGTACTGGGAATTTCCCCTTCCATATTTGGCAGTTTTCTGCATGCAGTTGATCGATACCCAGCAAATCCGTACGCATTTTCTCTGCGTGTGCCACAACGTAGAGAACCCCATCTCCGCGTAGAAATCTGGAGCCAAAACACGCGAAGCCGTAGACTCTAACCCAGACACCTGCTCTCTACATGATTTCTCTACGTTTCACGTATAGCAGAACCTCCCTACTGGTGAACTGGAGTCCTGGCATCTACTTCGAAGTACAATATTTTGCAGCGCCTAGCTAACCAATGTGGTCAGTAGAACACAGCGTTTCCTGATCGCGACTCGGCAAACTCTTTTCTGTTTGACCTTGCAAGTTTCACTCTGCGAGTGTGGAGTTTCGTGGCCACAAATGAATACCTTAGTCATGGCCGTAGGGGCGTGGCATAGGACTGTTCGGTCTGCTTTGGAAGGTCATGTTACGCCACATAGTGTCCAAGATAATTCACTCTATTTTCATTTTTGCAGCCAAGGATACTGTACTGGCTCAGATAGGTCCTTTTATTTTGAAGTTTTGCGGTAAACTGCACTCGGAAACGAGTCTCATACAGCAGATTACAATCGTAGCATGTACCGTATTTCCCCGATTATAAGTTGCACTCGATTATAAGTCACACCCCCATTTTCAGGTTTGAGCCATATTGTTTCGATATATTCACTTCAGTAGTATGTCATGCTCGATTGTCAGTCGCACCCCCTTTTTTACCCTGAATTTTAGTGTAAATAGGTGCGACTTATAATCGGGGAAATACAGTATACATAATTCTCCTTGAACTACATATACATGTGCTATCGGCTGCTTCTTACAACAGTTTTGCTCGAGGCTCCGACATTTGGACTTGCAAACAGACGTGCTTCTTTTCCTCGACTGGTAGGTAGCAGCAAGTTGGAACAAACTCAGCACAGTGTAGTCACTTCACACCAGGGCTAGGGAGCAGTAAAATACCGGCATTTACTACTCCCCCCGCTTCACGTTCACACTCAGCTCCCCTCGCACCGGTAACGCTGCTGTTTTATTGTTTTCAAAGGTGTCGAAAATGGCCAGCATGTGCAATCATGTTCAAAATTGGTATACTGTATATACCATGCACGCAACATGTATTAAAGACCTCATACCCGGTACTTGTACAAGTCCAGTCCACGCATCGACAGGTGAACGCTGCACGCGGACTTTGCGGTACTTTTTTTATCCTGTTTTGGGCGTTTTGCGGACATGGCACGGCAAACCCTAGCTGCTTTGTTTGCGATTTTTGCGATACGGCATTACGCGCCTGGACCATGATGACAAGTGACTGGTATGATCCCTGACTGGCCTGAGTCCTTAGCTCGAGTCAACACGAAGGTAAACTCTTCACTTGGAACGCTTGCTGTTTCCTCGGCCCTTTCTTGTTGTACTTGCAGATATGCGCACGGCTGCCAGTTTTTGTTGGTGCGCGCAGGAACGCACGCCTACCTTGATGTCTTCAAAAAAGTAAAAAGTGGTTCTACTCGGCCGATTCTCACCGTAGATAGCTCATTTTCTCGGTTTTTGGAATTCTCTATCGGCACCGTCCCCGATTTCTAAATTTTCTTTTCATTCACTTGTTCGCACGTCTTCGAGTTTGAGTGATTCACCATCCGACCTCATCCAAACGAAGGCCAAATCGGACTGGTACGTATCTGTATTGACTCCGCGTGAAGTTGCACGTGCTGCGGAAGGATCTGCCGATTAACTTTGCTCATGTGCCATATTAGGCTTTTCGTACGGTAGAGTTGTATCGCCGGTGTTTGGAAGTGAAATTAGGACATATTCTGCTTGCCCATGATGTTGGCTGCTTCCCACTAGCTGAAAACAGACCCGGAGTAGGATGACTGTAACTGAGACTCCACCATATCGCAACAGCTTGCCAGGAGTGGTATCATATCATGCTATTATTAAGCCCTTGTATTGCTCTTGTAGCGCAGCAATTGCGGTTTCTACTTCCGGATCCACATGGGGGGAGGGCATCAGCATATTGCGACCATTCTGGGATGGACAGTAAGTCATTGATAAAATTCACAAGACAACAATCTGGTTGTCGATGAAGAACTCTGACATTGTCAGTACGCATAACGTGCTCGCGCGGTTAGTGCCTCCGGGGCACGATTTTGTCAATGTGCAACAGATGGAGCACTACTCAAGAGAGGGCACTATTCAAAAGAGCGCGCTATTCAAGAGAGAGAGAGCACTATTCAAGAGAGAGAGAGAGAGAGCACTATTCAAGAGAGAGAGAAAGAGAGAGAGAGAGAGAGAGAGAGAGCACTATTCAAGAGAGAGAGAGAGAGAGAGAGAGAGAGAGAGAGAGAGAGAGAGAGAGAGAGAGAGAGAGAGAGAGCACTAATCAAGAGAGGGCACTATTTTTAAATGCTGGTAAATTCACGTCATCCAGCAGCACTGTACACAATGTATATACGCCCCGTTATCGAATATCGTTCTCTGGCTATGTCAGCTATGAATGTTCAGCAACAAGATGCCCTCGAACGTCTCCAACGGCGGTCAGCAAAACTCTGCCTCCGACTCCTCCTCTTCAGTCCTTGCCACCACAGTTCGTTACTCCACCACGTCACTTGGCCTACCCTCTCATCCCGCAGGAAGCTCAAGCAGCTACTCTTTGCACACGCCATCGCTGTCAAACGATCCCCGCCACACATCCAGCTTGCGACCTCAGGCTACATCACCGAGCCACCAAGCCGAGAATTGAGGCGTCATCGAGTCTTTGCCCTCCCCACCACCCACTCCACCCGCCTTCAACGTTCACCCTTGTACTCAGCATGCACTCAGTACAACCACCTGCCACAACACTGTTACTCCCTCCGAGAAATAAATGCATTCGAAAGAGAAGTTACCCCGATCATAGTATCATCTATTTGCACATGCTCCAACCCCCGCTGTAGCCCAGCCTAGGTATAGTATTTTAATCAAGGTCTATCGCCTACCTGCCCTCGCAATGGATATACTTCCCTCCTCGTCTTTACTTAAATGAAGCACCCAAACCACGGCTGCCACTAGCCACTGTTTCTCCCGGTTTATTGCACCCACTCTGATTGATAACACATAGTACTGTCTCTCTCTTATTGGCTACGGCCACCGTGAGAATAAAGATAATAAAACGAAGAAGGCAAAGAAAAACAGAGCCTAAAGTGCACTGTAAACTATCACGACTCAACAGAAAGTGCGACAAGAACTGCGATTTTGATCCAAAAACCACCAGTACAATAACATGGACAAGAACATTACTAAAAGAACACCAAACTCGCACATGCGGTTGGTTACAAGCTGGGTGGGCTTTATGTTTTTACTGACACTTAGAGACTGGGGCACTATTCAAGATAGGGCTCTAATCGTCCGAGTACGGTATGAGTGCTGAAACTAGGGAAACAACCAAAAAGAAGGGACTCACTGTCCAGAAAAAGCCACTTCCTAGCTGCGTGGTGTAGACCAGGCTGAATAGTGACGGTCAATTCTTCAGCCGTGCAAGCTGTTGAATGGTGCAATCCCAGCACAAGTTGCTATGGCTTCTGCTTTAGCATCGCTATCATCGTCTCCGGCGATGGGCGTCAACTGGTCGTGTAGAAAGTCTGGCTGCCAACCCTAACTGGTTTTCTCCACTTCCTGCAGTGTAGTCACCTATGACCCATTTTAGGGCTCGCGGCATTGATCACCAATTTTGCGTCTTGTTTGTTCCCTTTCCCTCCCCTCTACTTTCCTCCTCTCTCATCCCTCTCCCCTCCTCCTCTCTCTTCTCTCTCTCTCCTCTACCCTCCTCCTCTCTCTTCTCTCTTCTCTCTCCCCTCTACCCACCTCCTCTCTCTTCTCTCTTTCCCTTCTACACTCCTCCTCTCTCTTCTTTCTCCCCTCTATCCTCCTCTCTCTTCTCTTCCCCCCTCTGCCCGCCTCCTTTCTCTTCTCTCTTTCCCCTCTACCCTCCTCCTCTCTCTTCTTTCTCCCCTCTCCCCTCCTCTTTTTCTCTCCCCCTCTACACTCCCCCTCTCTCTTCTTTCTCCCCTCTACCCTCCTCTCGCTTCTCTTCCCCCCTCTACCCGCCTCCTCTCTCTTCTCTCTTTCCCCTCTACCCTCTTCCTCTCTCTTCTTTCTCCCCTCTACCCCCTCTTTTTTTCTCTCCCCTCTTCCCACCTCCTCTCTCTTCTCTGTCCTCTTACGTTTCCCCTCTCTGTTCACAGTGGTATTGTGGATGTCGGTGACCGGTGTGCTTGTCCCAGTTAGCGAATCCAGCACCTGTACACAATCGCCAAACAAATACAATTGCAAGAGCCTTAATCTCAATGCTATTCCTCAAGATGCAGGTAGTGATCTAAAGTTTCTGTAAGTGCTAGGTCTCATGAAGGCTAAGGATTCTCCGTGATGGCGTTTTATTTACTTTGATCATAGTCTCCAACAAGAGTTTCCGTAACTTGATAGAAAGAAGGAGCATGATGCATTATGTATAATCATCGTGTATGCATATGTGAACGCGTGAGTGTGTATCTGTGTAAATGAACACACACACATGCACAAACTGTGTGTGCATTTGTGTCCATTTGTGTGTGTGTGTGTATTTGTGTGTGTGTATTTGCGTATGCGAGGATGCGTACATGTGCGTATGTGTACATGCATGCAAGCATGTGTGTGTGTGTGTGTGTGTGTGTGTGTGTGGTTGTGGGTCTGTGTGTATGTGTGTGTGTATGTGTGTGTGTGTGTGTGTGTGCGTGTGTGTGTGTGTGTGTGTACGTGTGCATGAGTCCATGTCTTGTGGGGTCGGGTGTTGGGTCTCCCACATATTATTAGTTTGTGCGTGAAGCATTTCGACAGTAGTATACAGTGGGGGCCTCATTCCACCAGCTCATCCACTTTTACAGGAAGCGCGACTTTAAAAGTCTGAACAATACATTGAGCAGTCACTGCTTAGACGGCGACTACATCATTGCACACTGGGAGAAAAGCTGGTTTATAGCAAAGGTTCCTGTTTCGAGTCCTGGTGGCGGCAAAATATTTTGACTTATTCTCATTTCCAAAAAGAATAATTAAATTTTGTTCATGACATCTCTATAAAACGTTAGTAAAATGACGCTTCAGCTGGTTCTGTTTATTGTGTTCCATTTTTCAATCCTTCAATTTAACTTGTGAATCCGAAGCCTGGAGAAATTGTTGAACAGGCGTTCCTTAGGTAAAAACTACACCATAGCTGACCTATTATACAAGGTTTGAGTCCTAGTGGATACAGTCAATGTTCTCTATGGAGTTTCTTCTTTCTCTTTTAGCCTTTAAAGAATAAAGAGGGAGGAGAAAAAGAAAGAAAAAAGGGCCGGGAAATGAATAAAAGATGGTGGCAAAATCAAGTCAATAACAACAGTTGTTCGCCCAATCTTTTCTAAAATATTTGCAGGTGCTAAAAGATCAATGTTGCCCAATAACAAGGAAGTCAATGAGACTGTCGAGGAGTAAGAGATATCAAGGACACAATACTAGAATTTTAGTAAAACCTGGTGTAAGCGACCTCTGGGCTTAGTGACCACCTGCTTTTAACGCCCGTTTTTTTCCATGCACCAACAGTTCTACACAGACACTGTGGGACGTGGTTCTAAAGACCACCTGGCTTTAACGATCGCTTTTGCTTGCACCGTGGGGTGGTTGCTTATAAACCAGGTTTTACTGTAATGCATAGGAGGTGGTGCGGGGGATCGAGTAGGATGAACAATACAAGCCTAAAGCTGTGTTCACAACTGGCGCGTGTACGCGTGAAACCACGCATTTGTGCGTATTTTGCTGGCTTTTGGGTGCCATGCGTACGGAAACGCACCGAAATGGAAATTCCAACATGTTGGAATTTTCAGCACGTATCAGGCGTGTATCAGCGTACATGCCAGTCACATTCACTGTCGGGGTCAAAAAATCAGTGCCCGAAGGTGCCGCACACGCTGAATATGACTCAGATTGCTGTTTTGTTTTGGAAAGCCTGAACACGCGTTTGGGCACGCATGAACCGCAAGCGTGCCGCGTCCACGCGCCAGTTGGGAACACAGCTTAAGTGCAGAGTGCCACACATACATTAGGAACAAAATATAATATGACCTGGTTTAAGTTAAATCATCTATAGTCCATTCATTCAAGAAAATATTATCCTAGCATTCGGCCATAGAGGAGTCCACTTTTCAAAATTGTTTTTTGCAATCCCCATGAAAGGCTCTTCCAATTATGTTTCTTCAGTCTATTTCTCCAAAAAGCAAGCCATAAGAAGAATAAGAATTCGACCAGGTTTTGCCCCCAAAAGCACTGAATTGGGAAAACCATGAAAATCCTGGCCATTTTCTCGAATTGCAACAGTACGTGGTGTGGTTCTAACCCCAGTTGAGGTATCTTTTTGGACCTTTCCAGGTTTCAAATTTTGCCTCCCTCTACCATGCACGATAAAATCACGAAAAATCACCGAATGCGGAAAATAATTCACGTTTCGTGTCAGACTCGGCTAGAGGCCGAGTTTTCCACATCCGTAGGAACGCCACCACCCTTCAAGGATCAAGGAGCGATCCTTGATCTCACCAGAGCAAGCGTTCATTTGTTATTGATTATGAATGGACTGTAATTTCATGATAGATAATTGGCAAAATTGGTAGAAAATACATAGTCTGATAAGAATTTTGACATAAGAGGGTAGCAGACCGGATTTCAGGTTAGGTTAAACATGTAATTTTAGGTGTATTACAATTTCCATGTCAGGGACCTGCCAGGTTTCAGGTTTAATGTAGAATTAGGCTTCCGGCCAACCCGTCTCATTGCACTCTGGTGCATTTTAGGCCGCGGTCACGCATGAAAGGTTTGCACCGGCTTTGCGGAGACGAAAAGCGTAACTACCGCTGCCGCTTTTGCGGAACGCGTGATCCAGCGGTCACTATAGTTACTGTGTTCGTTAACGCTCCGCTTTGGCCGAGGGAATGAGAATGCACATACATGTCATTTGATATTTTTGTAGTTTCTGTCCGAGTTGAATTGTGAGAGAGCTTGTTTCGAAGGATGGAGTTTTCCATGGTATATTAATCGCACGTTTCTTTCTTCGGCTTCAGGAATGTCGAACACAACTTGATAAGCAACATTGGGGAAGGAGACTTTTCATCATATCCTCAATTGGAAGAACTGTAAGGAATTCGTGTGCGTGTGTGTGTGTGTGTGAGAGAGAGAGAGAGAGAGTGTGTGCGTGTGTGTGTGTGTGTGTATGTGTGTGTGTGTGGATGTGCGTGTATGTATGTGTGTGTGTGTGTGTGTGTGTGTGTGTGTGTGTGTGTGTGTGTGTGTGTGTGTGTGTGTGTGTGTGTGTGTGTGTGTGTGTGTGTGTGTGTGTGTGTGTGTGTGTGTGTGTGTCCCATATGGTGCAGTGGTATGTGCAGCGATTTCCAATCGATAGGTTGCGGGTTCGATTCCCGACGATTATGGTCACACACGTCTTTCTTCTCTTTCTCAGACTCTTCCTGACTTTTCTTTCATTCTCCTGGGTGGTTACCAACAGCCAGTGCATGCCGGAGTATGTGGTGTGATGTGTGTGTGGGAAAAAAAAAAAAAAAAAAAAAAAAAAAAAAAAAAAAGACCAAAAATAGGGATTCACTGGCCAGAAAAAGTCACTTCAAATAGCTGTATGGTGTAGACCAGGCTGAATAGTGACGGTCAATTCTTCAGCCTTGCAAGCTGTTGAATGGTGCAATCCCAGCACAAGTTGCTATGGCTTCTGCCGTAGCATTGCTATCATCGCCTCAGGCGATGGGCGTCAAAGGTCAAGGTCAAAGGTGTGTGTGTGTGTGTGGATGTGCGTGCACATGCACTTTATCTCCTATGTTGTCAGGCAACGTTGAATTTGTCATAGTGCTCCTTTGTGCTTCATGTCTTTGCTGTATGCGTTATGTGGCTGGTTTGAACTAGTTGTCACGAAGCAGGGACTTGTATTTGGAGAACAACAGTTAGCATTCTGTCCAGCCTTGGAGTTGGCCTATTTTGGGGTGCTTCCTGCAAAGTCTGCTTACCACTTCCCGAAGTTCACATGCGGTAAAATGGGAAACTTTCGGTACAGCTCCTATTTCGCAATTTCCATGGCTATTGCACATTTTTGGTTTCGGACAAAGCAGCTACCATTTTTTACATCGCAAACATTCGGAAATTGCAGCAAATTATTTTGTGCCTGGACTGTGCTTTTCGTCGTTGGGCAGGATATTGGCCTAGTTGCAACTGTGGAGAAGTGAAAAAAAGTGTTCATGGTACATTATCTGCCCCGTTTCAAGGACCAAAGGAATCTTTTCAACTGTGGCTACTGTCCAGACATGCAGTAGGTTCGAATCCCACTTCTGAAAACATGTTACGACTACAAGCTAGGTACTTATAGGCCAGCAACTAGGGGTCTCAGTGAACATAGTCAAGTAGATGAGATGTACGGGACCGGCTTTGCAATCAATTTTAGTGTGCACTGTCAGCGTAGTTAGACATCGATCTACCGGCAGCAAAGGGCTGATTCAGACAAGTTTTAGTTATTTGCCGATAGGCGCAAACCTTTGTCAATATTGACCTTTAGATGTCAACTCCTGAACTCGGTCACCTCGAAGTATATGCATGGTGGAAGAGAAGCCTGGGGGCAGGACTGAGAATGCGAAGATGGTTGTGAAATTCCCGTGGATTGTGGTTGGCTGGAAATGTGTAACCAATGGTAACCAGTAAATGGCCAGCGATTTGAGAATCCTGCCGTTTTTTGCTTTGTACGTGTTGGAGAAAATGGTGAAAATCAATGTTTAATGTTTTGCTTTCTAAAAAATAAAATGGACCAAGGAACTACAAGTTACGGTATAATGTCCACTAACACCACCAGTTACTAAACAATCAGCTCATGCGATAACATTGCACGACTCTGACCGACGGTACTGACATTCTTCAACTAACCGGCTAACAGCTTTAGCACATCTTGGATACGCACTCCAACAGCCTTCCATCATCCAAGATGTGCTAAAGCTGTTAGGCAGTTAGTTGTAGAACGTCAGTACCGTCGGTCAGAGTCGTGCAATGTTATCGCATGAGCTGATTGTTCAGTAACTGGTGGTGTTAGTGGACATTAGAGCGTACCTTGTAGTCCCTTGTTCCTTTTTATTTTGTTTATAAATTAATCCTTGGCTCTCCATCCAGTTTCCTTTCTACATTCATTATTGGTTCAACATCCGAGTTTCAAATCAATGTATAATTATACAAGTTACAATAATTGCGGAAGGAGGACGAAGATGCTCTTTAGCACAATTTGTTCTTTTACTCTCTGAACCTGAGTCGTCAGCCGTGACTTCTAGATGACGATCGATCATTTCACAGGTGATCAGATTGAGATTTTGATGCAAGCTAGTTAAAGAAAAATTGAGGACATCGCTCAACTGCATTATTAAGAAAAGGTCTTTTGGAAACTGACAACCGCTCTATTCAGTTGCTATTCACAATCTCCGCATGCGCTGCATTAAACCTGCTTCATTGTGATGTTAACTAGGATACTGAGCCAGTAAAAAAAATGTAAAATAGAAGAAGAAAAACATATGGGAACGAGTTATGAAGCAATTATCCGCCTAATTTCCTTTAAAAAAAGGGCCGGGGCCACGTGAAAACTGTACACGGCTTACGATGCGTTTTCTCCAATTTCTTTTAATCAGGAGATTTACTAGTCATCCTGAATGCCTCCCCGCAACTTCGTGCTACCTTGCTAGTTATGGGTTGGGCAGACCACCAATTCTGTCTGTCTGCTATCATCCTTAAATGAATTCAACTGAACTTCAACAAAATCAATATCATTTCAACATTACCATCTTGGACCATCAACAGGAACAAAGAAATGTGATAGGATTCCCATTGAAAACAGTTGCAAGAAAACTATCCTTTATTCATGGTGTTTTTTGAGCGGGCGTGCCATTAAGTTTCCTGCTATTTTATGACTACTGTCTCAATGATGCCTGTTGATAATGCACTCACTTCAGGAATCTCAAGGAGAACTCGCTTACTGAGCTTGGTGAAACCGCGTTTGGCAGCATCGACAACCTTCTAACGCTGTGAGTACATCCTGTCTTGTTTCACTTCCCCGTATTTTTTGCACATGGCAGCCAGATG